GCAACTCAAACAGTGAAAAAAACCTCTCCTTTCTTTCTCTCTCTAGAGATGGAGAGACGAACGAGAAGAGTCAAGTTCACTGAGCATCGTACGGTCACTAACGTGAAAGCTAAACCATTTAACGATTCTCCGAGAGTGGTCCGAATCACAGTCACTGATCCTTTCGCTACTGACTCATCAAGCGACGACGATGACGTCACGGTGGCTCAAACTCCGATTCCGAGGGTGAAACGATACGTGGAGGAGATTAGATTCGGTGTTGCTCAATCTATGGCGAGGAAAGGTAGGTCCAAATCGGAGAAAAGCGTCGATGATGACGTGTCAACGGTGAAGCCTAAGAAATACAGAGGCGTGAGGCAGAGACCGTGGGGAAAATTCGCGGCGGAGATTAGAGATCCGGTGAGTCGGACTCGGGTTTGGTTAGGGACTTTTGCTACGGCGGAGGAAGCTGCTATGGCTTACGATCGAGCAGCGATTCATCTCAGAGGACATAACGCACAGACCAATTTTCTAACTCCTCCTCCGTCTTCACCGGAGAAGAAAGTTCCGGTGATTGATCTTGAAACTGTTTCCGGTTGTGATTCCGGTAAATATTCACGGCAGAGTCTTCGTTCTCCGACCTCTGTTCTTAGATTCAACGTCAACGAAGAAACAGAGTATAGAACAGAGCTGGAGATCGAACCGATCGAGCTGTCTCCGGAGAGGAAGTTAACCGGTGTAGAAGAATCTCAGGCGAGTTTGTTCCCGGATCCGTATTTGTTGCCGGATTTATGTCCCGGAGGAGAATATTTCTGGGATTCAGAAATTGTTCCTGATCCTCTGTTTCTTGATGAAATCGGAATCCATGAACCGTTACCAAACATAATGATTCCGAAACAAGAACATGAATCTGAAGATATCTCGTTTGGTTTGATCGAAGATTTCGATTCTTCTTCATGGGATGTGGACAGTTTCTTCGAGTTGGATTAAAAATCTAATTTTTCTCTCAGATTTTTCTGGTTCTGAGAATTTTGGTGCTGATGATGTGTTGGTGATGACGTGGACGCATCTTGACCGTATGCTTTCGTTTTCCGTTCGTTGACGTGGACGGTTCTGCTAAGCTGGACCGCTGAAATAGTTTGTATTTAATTAATTTGTGGGTAAATATAATTATTTAGTTAAGATAAAATGTCAATGTTTAAATGTTTATGAAGGTTTTGGCCCCTTTAAGACAACAATTTCGGTAATTGCTTTCTCTTTGAGTTTGTCTCAACATGAGGAAGCAGTATATACGAGTGTTTTTTTATGCCTATATAAGTGTTTCCTAAATGTAAATCTCTAGTTTTTTCTTGTGTTAGTTGTGTGACAAATGACATGTCTTACTGCTAAATAAATATCTTTCTCAAATTTTAAAGTCAATACTCCATTATTATACAAATTATCTGAGTAATAAAAAAAATCAAAATATATGGAGTTTAAGATCTTTTAATTGATGGAAAAATAAAATTTTGTATTTCGTACTTTATTTTAAATCAAAAATCAAACTGAACTTTGTATCAATTTTTTTTTCCTTACAAACATAAACTTGATTTCAAATTCATAATCCACAATAGTAACATATATATTTATTTTTCAATAAGTAACGAACCTTTGTCCCATAATCTAACTCATCTTAGACAAAACGTTCATAATATGTTTGATTGCTTGTGTCAAGTCCACAAACGTAAAATCATCCACCCCTAAATGTATCACCTAGAATTCAAACACCGTACGATAGCATCATAAAAACACCAATTCTAACCGGTTAAGTCAATTTGTACTTGGTTTAATAATGATAAACATTTTTTTACCTAATGTCATACTATGATTTATCCTCATTGAGTGGGTGTGATTGCGAAGTGAAGATTCAAAGTATCGGCGAGAGACATGTTGTCGTGTCTGGTGTTGTTTTCCACTCAAGTAACAAAAACCCATTTCATGCGAAGAACTAAACCATTGAATCCTATATTAGCCCTACCAGTTCTGTCTCCACTCATAAAAACACCCTTCACATTTTTCAAATTCACCATAAAAAGATAACCAAGTACTTTTACTTTCTTTTCTATTTATATATTAGATTACAATAATCATAAAGATGCATTTACGTTTTATCAAATTTTGGTCGAGGTCTACGTGAAGAATTAGACAACGGAGTTTGGTATATATCAATTTCGAAGGACGAAAGTGTGTTTGTCTTCTAATTAAATGGATGTTTTCTATTTTGTACTATGGTCCATCCAAGTGGGTGGGACAAATGTATAGAGTTATATGTTACAAGGCCATTTTAATCAAATTTTTACTTCAATAAAAATCATGTAAATTTAAAAAATAATTTGAATCGAGAAAACCATTTTCAGAAAAATAAAATAAAAATTGAGAACAAATTTTTGTTAGTTCTCTTATCTAGTTATCTTTATAGATAAGTGAGTATTCTTCGTTTTCTTATAAAAACGAGTCTCATCATGAAAGCATTGATCATTCTATTATTATCTTTGAGTAGCATTATCTAAAGAAATGATAAAATATTAATTTTTGATCAAATTTGATCTTAGTTTCATATCTACACCCATGTTTTTCATTGACATTTTCCTCTATTTTTTTGTCACGTATTGACATTTTCCTTTATAAAGTATATTATACTTTTCCTAACGTATATAATAAATCAACACACCAATAAAAAAATTAAGCAACACAAACAACTCTTTGGACCTCTGGTCTTTTCGGGGTCCAAATTTTGACCAATTTATATCTTTCGAAGCCATTTGAAATTGGCCTTCGAATTTTGGCTTCTCCAGTTGGAACTTGGAAGCCATGCAAACTTCCTTGTCATTCAGAACCTTCCCGTTCACATTCATAAACTTCCTCTCAAACATC